AATTTCCATGACTATAGCAAAACTGTATGAGACTAGGTGGAAAGTATTTAAAGGACATCTGGTTTTGTTTTTCCTTCTTCTTCCTTGCACTCACTGTAGGGGGGGAAATGGCGCATGGAAGGGAGACTGTATACTCTTCCCCACAGCCACCCCAAAATAACTTTCTTAGCATGAGTCCCCATCTGCATGTTACACACTCTTTTTAGACATATATGGTTTCTAACTGGCTTTGGTGAGAAGACAATGCTGTATGGAGCAGTTTGTGCTTTGGCTCTGCACCATGCACACACAGCCCCTCACTTCACCCGTGGGCTCTCGCGAGCAGATCCCACTTGTCTGTTTCTGACACCACAGCACTATCAAATCAGTCAGACCTGTGCTTATCTGAAGGCAGAATGGAAGCCCTGCTTTCCCCATCACCCGCTGCCATTCAAGGGATTATTCCAGAGAAGGCGCTGGTGCAGACACCACTTCAGCTGCAGGTGTTAAGGGAACCTCAGAGTTATATCCAGACCTTTACATATCAATTACTTTAAACTGTTCATCAGTAAATCATCCCCTGCAGTTAAACATATCCTACACTGAAATATATGATGAAATACAAGGAATGTAAATCAGTTTGTAATAAGAGACCATGTCCAGTACCTACTTAATAATATTTTGACTCCAAGTTCTTATTTTTCTCACTAGGATTTAAGAAATTCAAAATCCTTCCTGTAATTCTTCTGTGTGTTTTAGCAAAACTCAAAATATTCAATTTATAAATCTTCAGTCTTTAATCTGTCTGGTTTTCCTCAGTACGAGGAAATGGTAAGAGTTAGCCTAGACAACTGGTTTTAATTTAAGCAAATAGCTTGTGTTTCAAGGAGAAATCCATGTCTCTGGCTAACTGTGATTTCACATGGCCAGAAAGGAAGAAAATTGAAATGGTGTTGCTCCTACGAATCCTTTGTGCAAATACCCAAATTAGTACTGTAAATTCAATACACATTTAAAATGTATTGCAAGAATTCCTACCACCATTTATGGCCTTCTGGGGTAACATGCTACTGGCAGCCAAAAGACCAATAACTGTTCAATGACTTCCATGGTGACATTCTCATTACGGCCCAGATTTTGATATCATTAATCAAGCATCCATTATCCATTATTCCATGAATGGTCATCCCACTGACACAGGCTCTCCAAATAAGGGCCTATCTAGTGCAAGGAAGTCTAACAGATTTGGCATTGAATCAGAATAGGCTGTGCAGATATGAACTTTCAAATTCACATGGAAAAAATCATATTTAAACAGTTCTGCAGCATACTGAGTACCATGAATGTCCTTTGTTATTAATGAAGTGTTGAGAGCACTCATTACAAAAGAAAGGTGATATTTTGCAGAATCAGCCTTTGGTGGGCAGGGCAATCAGAAATTTGGTGTAACCTTAAATCTTCAACTGTAAATCTTCTACCAATTTACGGTTTTATTACAATATGGCAAATACAACACAGAATCTAGTTGACTGCTGTGTTCAGTTTCCAGTGACTTCCCTTGACATTTCAGCTAACTTTCTGTGGATGAGTGGTTCCAAAGTGTAATCTCATTGATGTTAGGTAACTTCAAACGAGCTCTGCATTTGAAACTAACCTTTGTTCTTACAGAAACTACTTTTGTTACACAGACAAAGCCATCTTGGCTCCTTAGCCCCATCTTAAAAAGAAATTCTGGCTCAGAGACTCAGTTTCTGTGAAGGCACTGAGGAATAATTTATCCTGCAGGATACTGTGATGTGGTACTGTGTTTTCCTAACATGCATCTGTTTCTCTTCATCCAAGCAGAATAAATTAACTCCTCTGCATGTCAGTATAACATGCCTATACCATGCTTATACCCTATATCCATAAAACCATCACTCCTGACTTGTAGAAGTTATTTGCAGCCTCTAGTTAATTTGAAAACTTCTGGGAAAATTTTAAAAAAAACAACCAAACAAACAAGAAAAAACACAGGGGAGAAACTATGTTTGGTTAACTATTATAATAATCTAGAATAATCAAGAAATCTAACAATATAATTAGAAAACAAAAAAAAATTCCTGTATATCTCATTCACAGCAGTCACCTTCCTGCTACATAAGCAGCCTAAGGATGAGTTTTCCTGTGTGCTCAGTGCTGACCTGACTCTGATTTCTTGAAGCCAGTGTAAAGCTGTGAAGGGAATTCTCCTGCCTTCTCAGTCCAGCTGACTACCACAGTAAATTGCTTCTAGGGGCAATGCCGTCATCTATTAACATAACAAAACACACAGCTCTCATTTATCACACCCCTTCATCTCACAGCCTCTTCAGTGCAAAAAGGAAAAAAAAAAAAGAATATAATATATGCCAGCCTAAC